CCTCGAAATTAGTGTCCACACTCCAGAGGTGTCCCGACCCGAGTCTCCTCTTCTGGGGGAATCGATCGTTTGCGTCTTTAGGGAGCCGGAACCGTTCCCGAAAAACACTTCCCTCGGGAATCAATTTCCGAGACCCCCGTCCCTCTTCGGAGAACATTTTTTTTCCCAATTTCTTACCTGCCCAATTTTCACCGATTTACTATCAATCATCGATTTTTCGCTATTCTTATCAATTGCAAAAGAAACGTCCCTGCGCCAGTTTTTTATTTTTTTTTTATTTTCTGACTACCGTGCTAAATTCTATATCCAAAATTGAGATTCTTTACTCTTTTCAATTTATTGAGAAATATTTATTGACCCATTTACTATTAATCATCGCTGCCCCGGTTTTCACTATTCTTATCAATTGCAAAAGAAATGTGCCTGCGCCAGTTTTTTATTTTTTTTTTTTATTCTCTGACCACCATACTAAACTGCATATCCTAAATTGCGGATTTTTTTACTCCCTTCAATTTATTAAAAAACAATGTCTAGATTACTTCGGGGATTTTTGAGGAAACGGACGTAATGGTGTTTTAATGTGGTCAAGTACTTTCTAGGTTAGTGAAGAACGTTAGATGTTGTTACCGTCGCGTGGTTATTATCGCCCTGGGGAATAAGCGAAGTGTACAAACTGACGGGATATGGGAATAATGACAGGAACGAGGCATGAAGGAAATGCAGATTACGCAACGCGGCCTTGCAAACCGCTTCGATCTCAACGGGATCGTTAATTCGATAAGGGAATAACAAACGTAAGTTTAGTGCGAATTTATGACGTGAGATGCGATCTGGAAATAGCCGGACGGTAATGAAATGGGAATCAATAATAAAAAAAAAATGCGTATCGATTCGGAAGTCGTCTCTTCGGTCGGTAAATTTCGCGAAGAAAATATTTAAGTACCCGGCAGAACTTACCCTAGTAGCACGGAATAATTTCTAAATATGTACACAGAAAATATAGGACAAATATTTTGCGCTACTAGGGTAATCATTGAATTTTTTGTATCATTTTTGTAAATCATGGAAGAAAACATAAGTCTCAAGATGCAATGATTCCACTCGGATCAATGATTGGACACGAAAGGGCCATTGGACAAGAAATTGAATTTTCTTTATCATTTATCTAAATCATGGAAAAAAACTTAAGTTTCAAGATGCGATGATTCCACTCGGATCAATGATTGGACACGAAAGGGCCATAGGAAAAAAAATTGAATTTTCTTTATCATTTTTCTAAATCAAGGAAGAAAACTTAAATCCGAAAATGCGATGATTTCACTCGGATCAATGATTGGACAAGAAAGGGCCATAGGACAAAAAATTGAATTTTCTTTATCATTTTTATAAATCAAGGAAGAAAACTTAAATCCCAAGATGCGATGATTCCACTCGGATCAATGATTGGATACGAAAGGGCCATAGGACAAAATATTGAATTTTGTTTATCATTTTTCTAAATCAAGGAAGAAAACTTGAAACTCAAGATGCGATGATTCCACTCGGATCAATGATTGGACACGAAAGGGCCATAGGAAAAAAAATTGAATTTTCTTTATCATTTTTCTAATCAAGGAAGAAAAGTTAAATCCCAAGATGCGATGATTCCACTCGAATCAATGATTGGACACGAAAGGGCCATAGGACAAAAAATTGAATTTTCTTTATCATTTTTATAAATCAAGGAAGAAAACTTAAATCCCAAGATGCGATGATTTCACTCGGATCAATGATTGGACACGAAAGGGCCACAGGACAAGAAACGCAGCAGACAGCCATAAAGCCCGTTCCTCGTGAAACTCGGTTTCTCATGGTGGCACATCGCGTGATAAGAGTAACTTTCGCCCGTCCAGGTCGTACTTCCATGGGGGTAGCCCCGAACCGTTTCGAGCAATCTTTGGCCCATTAGTTTTATCAATAACGACGCAATAACGGACTCACCCTCTCGTCCATCCCCCAGGAAAGGCCTCGCGAGGTCGAAGGAGCTCCCCCAAAAAATGCGGGACGTTACGAGCGGGATTTCCCTAGATTTCCCCTAGCCGTGAACACGCGTCCAGGCGGTTAAAAGCCCCTGGAAAATTGAGACGAACGACCGCCGGACGTTTCCCCGACTTTTCAGGAGCTAATCGATTGTTCGAGCCTTTGATAAGAATTCCATGAAAATTCCTAGGAGTATTTTCCCCTAGGAAGGACGCGTGACCTGTCGTTGTTCGTTACCGCCGGCGGAATTGGGAATGGCTAATTGTATTTACGTAATTATGGATATATTTTTAGGGGGGCTTAATTGATATTCAGGGGAGGGATTCCGAGGTGGTGGTTTTCGATGAAGAGGAGGACCTTAAATCGCGTTCCTTCGCGTACGTGGGCCGCGTGACGAAATAAATTACGCGAAAGGACGCTCGGCTTGACGTATGTAAATTTGTGGAAATGAGGCCGAATTCCCTGGGACTGCTTGTCAGGAGAGCTTCGGTGGATTCCCGTAGATCACCGAGGGGAATCCCGTTGGAGAGCGACGGGACGTCCGGACGGACACGCGAGACGACGTTCCCTCGAGACGGGATTAAATGGACATAAGGTGCCAGAATAAGAGAGAAACTAATTAATAATTTAAGATTTTTCACATTTTCCCCTCGGTCCCAATAAATCGAGCGATTTTATTCCCTGCCCCCTCCTCGGAGGGAATTCTCATATTTCCTGGAGGATCATTAAATTTCCCTAGAAAATGATTTCATTTTGCGGGAAATGGACATAAGGTGCCAGAATAAGAGAGAAACTAATTAATAATATAAGATTTTTCACATTTTCCCCTCGGTCCCAATAAATCGAGCTATTTTATTCCCTGCCCCCTCCTCGGAGGAAATTCTCATATTTCCTGGAGGACCATTAACCTGCTCTAGAAAATGATTTCATTTTGCGGGAAATGGACATAAGGTGGCAGAAAAAGAGAGAAACTAATTAATAATTTAAAATTTTTCAAATTTTCCCCTCGGTCCCAATAAATCGAGCGATTTTATTCCCTGCCCGCTCCTCGGAGGAAATTCTCATATTTTCTAGAGAATCATTAAATTTCCCTAGAAAATGATTTCATTTTGCGGGAAATCTCGACTAGTCGATGTTCACTCCCGTTGATTTTCCCCATGGAAAGGGCGACTTAAAATTAAATCCAAATTAGTAAGAATTATTCTTCTAGTCTCTGACGCGACACCTCCTAAAATATACGAGCTAGGGAAATGGAAAGGAGCATTTATCACCTCTTTTCCACCATGGACATTTCTGCGTCAGGGGAAACGCGATCGTATCGCTCCAACGATCAGATTATACGTGTAATTAGTCTGGACAGGAACAGGACATCGCAACGCGAAACGGGGAATAAATAATTCATGACGTTAACAATCCCATAAAATTTACCTCCCCAACGAAGGTTGACCATTAACTGGGGAAATTAATCGATATTAATTATGGTACAGATTAATCGGTATTAATATTGTCTTCCCACTTCGGTTATAAAATATCAGAATTTAAAGAGGTGCTCTCCTGAATGGTAGAAAACATTAATCGACATTAATTAGAACTTTCCACTATTCTAGGGATTTTCGAAATTCAATCGATTCCGTCGATTGGCATCGATCGCGATTCGCATCACGGAGGCGAAGTTTCTCGCCGAAGAGGTTTAGGATTCACGGAATGGCGCGGTTAGTAATTAGTATCCGAGTATCCGTTATTCCAAAAGAGAGGGAAAAAGGGGACGGAAGGAGAAGAAAGGAAATTGCTTTGATTTCTCCTGCAGAATTTTAATGGGGATGCCGGGGGAGCTCGGGGACTCGACTTCGGGTCGGGGGGCTTCGTCTTCCTCTTGGATGCTGGACTTCTATTTGCGTAGCTAATGAGTAGTTTCCCCAGGGTGTGTTCGAGCAATAAACTAAACAAAGGGCAGCCCGCGTTACGGGTCGCCATTTCGCGACAAGTTCCTCGGAGGAACTCAAACACCGACAGGAAGCGACAGCTGCTTTTCTCCGGATTTCCGACTCGCGACAATCTTGGATTCGGATCGTCACCCTTCGAGGGCTGAGATCGCATTTCCGATTTTCCCGAATGAAAAATAAAAAAACAGGGTAAATTCACGATTGAACACGGAGCCAGTTCGACATATGGGCGAAATTCGGCTGACCGTGCAGGCAATATTGGACCTAACGTCGGGCGCCTTTAGGCGCTCTTAGTAGCCAATTCGCCCTGGACAATGTCGACCAATATTGTTCTTTCAGGCTGTAGGAATTTGCGACTCGCGACAATCTTGGATTTGTATCGTCACCCTTCGAGGGCTGAGATCGCTTTTCCGATTTTCCCGAAGGAACAATTAGATATGAAAAATAAAAAACAGGGTAAATTCACGATTGAACACGGAGCCAGTTCGACATACGGGCGAAATTCGGCTGACCGTGCAGGCAATATTGGACCTAACGTCGCGCGCCTTTAGGCGCTCTTAGTAGCCAATTCGCCCTGGACAATGTCGACCAATATTGTTCTTTCAGGCTGTAGGAATTTCCGACTCGCGACAATCTTGGATTCGGACCGTCACTCTTCGAGGGCTGAGATCGCACTTCCGATTTTCCCGAAGGAAAAATTAGGTATGAAAAATAAAAAACAGGGTAAATTCACGATTGAACACGGAGCCAGTTCGACATACGGGCGAAATTCGGATGACCGTGCAGGCAATATTGGACCTAACGTCGAGCGCCTTTAGCCGCTCTTAGTGGCCAAAGAGTTAATTCGCCCTGGACAATATCGACCGATATTGTTCTTTCAGGCTCTACGACACTTCGAATTGTTCGAAATCAATTTCGCGTGCAGAATCGTTGCGATAAGGGGTAGGAAGGCCATATTTGAATCTAAGAGGTTACGACGTCGGAATCTAATAGGTGCAAGGCGATTGATAACGCAATCGACTGTTGACAGTGTATGTATGCAAAGACCTGCCGACTATAAAAGCTCGAGCGTTTTATTCTCGAGAAGTCAGTTCGCAAAATAGACTCGCAAGATGAGACCTCACTTGTTGGCCCTGCTCGTCGTCGGCGTCGCAGTCACCTGCGTCCTCGGGAGATTGGTATGAAAATCGGGAAAAGCCGATTATATTCACATTTTCGGCAAATTTCTGGTTACTTGGAATAATTTTAATAAATATAGTACGATTAGTACGTCACTTATGTAAGGAAAAGCTAATAATGAAACTGTTTCATCTCTCGCACCGCGGGATGTGGATGACCAACTCGCGATTCAAATTGATAAGGACACGGTGAGTCATTTTTGACAAATGTCAAAGCTGACGGTGAATGATTTGACGTCATTGTTACACAATGTAAACATTTATTTATGCAGGAGTTCCACCCACACGATGATCCGGATGTGTCGTCCGTCGAAATTCCGGGGCGACGTCAACAGGTGAGTTACTTGTCACTCTAATTAAATGAAAGTATTCCCAATTTTTATTCATTTCAAAATTTACATATTATTAATTTCTTTTTTTAAGCGCTATCGAGCGGCGGGCGCAAGAAAGGCGAAGGATGTGAGTAATGTGTATAATTTTTCATGAATCTTCACGTTGTATAACAATGTTGCTCGACTTTCGTCTAGGATCTCGATGAGGATGTACTGAAGGCGAAAAGGCGCCAGGTGAGAAATTTCCCAAAATCAATGTTTAAATATCAGACGTATCTTCTTTAAAAAATAAATAATTTCGAAATTTCCTTTTTCATTCCTTTGCATCGCTCGATTTTTTTTTAGGAAGTCGAGGACGATGGACTGAAGGCGAGAAGGCGCCAGGTGAGAGATTAAGTTTTAAAAAAGTTCTTAAATATTAATCATGTCGAATTAAATAATTAGATAATTTTGCAAATTTTTCAAAACGTTTCTCTGTAATATTCAATGTTTGTTTAGGAAGTCGAGGACGATGGACTGAAGGCGAGAAGGCGCCAGGTGAGAAATTAAGTTTAAAAAAGTGCTTAAATATTAATCGTGTCGAATTAAAAAATTAGATAATTTTACAAATTATTCAAAACATTTCTCTGTAATACTCAATGTTTGTTTAGGAAGCTGAGGAAGATGGACTGAAGGCCAGAAGGCGCCAGGTGAGAAATTAAGTTTAAAAAATGGCTTAAATATTACTCGTGTCGAATTAAAAAATTAGAATATTTTGCAAATTTTTCAAAACGTTTCTCTGTAATACTCAATGTTTGTTTAGGAAGCCGAGGAAGATGGACTGAAGGCCAGAAGGCGCCAGGTGAGAAATTAAATTTAAACAAGTGCTTAAATATTAATCGTGTCGAATTCAAAAATCCGATAATTTTGCAAATTCTTCAAAACGTTTCTCTGTAATACTCAATGTTTGTTTAGGAAGCCGAGGACGATGGACTGAAGGCGAGAAGGCGCGGTGAGAAGGTAGGCCAGATGAGTAATTAATCTTAAAAAAAAAAGTGTCTAAATGTTAAACGTGCCAAATTTAAAAATCAGATCAATTTGAAATTTTTCAAAACGTTTCTCTGTAACAATCAATTTTTGTTTAGGAAGCTGAGGATGATGGACTGAAGGCGAGAAGGCACCAGGTGAGTAATTAAACTTCCAAAAAGCGTTAAAATGTTAAACATGTCAAATTAATAAATCAGATAATTTTGAAATTTTTTGAAACGTTTCTCTGTAATTTTTGTTTAGGAAGCCGAGGATGAGGGACTGAAGGCGAAAAGGCGCCAGGTGAGTAATTAACCTTCAAAAAAGTGTTTAATTATTAAACGTGTAAAATTTAAAAATCAGTACATTTTGAAATTTTTTAACACGATTTTCTATAATGCTCAATGCGTTTGTTTAGGAAGCAGAGGATGAGGGACTGAAGGCGAAAAGGCGCCAGGTGAGTAATTAACCTTAAAAAAAGTGTTTAATTATTAAACGTGTAAAATTTAAAAATCAGTACATTTTGAAATTTTTTAACACGATTTTCTATAATGCTCAATGCGTTTGTTTAGGAAACCGAGGATGATGGACACAAGGCGAGAAGGCGCCAGGTGAGTAATTAACCTTCGAAAAAGTGTTTAAATATTAAACATGTCAAATTTCAAAATCAGTACATTTTGAAATTTGTTGTGACCTTTTTCTGTAATGCTGATTTTTTGTTTAGGAATCCGAGGACGATACCCTGAAGGCGAGAAGGCATCAGGTGATTAATAACTCTCAAAGAAGAGAATATATTTCAATATTAAACGTGTCGCATTTAAAAATCTATTAAATTTGGAATTTCCCTGTATCGTTCCATTTTTGTTCAGGACCTTGAGGACGTTTCCTTAAAAGCGAGGCGAAGGCAACGTCCGGTGAGTAATATCCTCTAAACTATATATAAATATAAAAGAATTTTGGAATATTATTAATTATTTTCTATTTTAATTATACAAACTTTAAATCATACATTTGGAATATCGCAGATTTTTATTAATATTTTTTCACGCTAGGTACCAATCTCGGGGAAGGCTCACAAGGTTCGTAATTGTTAACCGTGACGGTGAAAATACGAAAACAAAATGGATGGTACAAGTAAAGGAGTACTTAAGGATTTTATTATTTTTCATACAGGGTAAGAGGGGCAAACCGCTGAAGCTCGATTCGGTAAGTAAACATTGCGAATATAGATAAGAAAAAAATTCCGAAATTTTGTTAAACATTGATAGGTCCTTTTAACATTAATTAAGTATATGTGCGTCGTTCATGAAACATATTATGCAATTTTTTTGTACAGCCTTCCTCCAAAGATAAATCGTCCTCGGAGAGCGACAGCCTAGTGAGTAATTTTTCCCCCTAAAAAGTTGCAAATCTCTAAACGTTGCAAATTAACGATCCTTTCGTACGATGTTAAATAATTATTCTCCAATTTTTCTTGCGCAGAATTCGGACGAATTAGTGGAAGCCGATGTGAGTAGCCTTCGAAAATGAGTCGCAATTAATTAAACAATAATCCCTGTATAATTTGTCAAAATCTCTTCTACACCACTAAAGAAAGAGACTCACTATTTAATTCGACCTATTTCCTTTCTTTCTTTATTCAGGAACCGGCTGTACGTGGTCATCAACATTTGAAGCGACAGCAAAAACTGTAGACGGAAGTGACACAATGAAATCACAAGCGGAAGTGACAAATGAAATCATTTGTTAAGGGGAAATAAAATTAATCAACTGACACATTCGCAGTAGAAGGAAAGAAATATACCGATTCGAGTGAGTTCTCTTCTCGAAATGCTGTTCTACCGATCTAAGATTGAATTAAAGTAAACGACTAAAAAAAAAAAACTGAATTTTCGAAAATAATCAATTAACCCTTCACCCGTCTCTTTTATCCAAAGCACTTTAAATAAGAGTACATACTACACACTTGAAATTCAAGGAAGGAATTTTGGAAATTCCTGCAAGGAAAAATCGAAACCGCGAGATCCACGAGCAGGAGAAAACTTGCGAAAAAGGGTAAAAAAAAAGAGAGAAAGAACAAAAAAGTTACACAGGGTCGTAATTGAAAACCGGAGGGTAACTACCCGCGATTCGCGGGGGGTCCTCCGGGATTGCACTTTGTAGCTGCAGTGAAACTTTTTAGTGCCGGCAACTAAATCGACGGAAGTAGCTCAATCTCCATAAAGTCAGCGCAGAGTCGTTTCGCATGGGAGGCAAAAAAAAGGATTTCGCCGGCCATTTTGCCGTTATCCTTCGATTTGGATTAATATCGGCGCGGTGGAAGATGTAAAATGGAAGAAGAAAAATAGAGGCCCGGAAAGGTGGTCGAGATTTACGGCCCAGGTTGACACAACAATTGGAATTTTTCACGACTAACTGGCCGAGCAAGAATGGCCTCGCTTTGTCATGCAACTTCCACGTGTACTTGTCAAGGATCGGACCAAACAAGGAGGTAGAATTTTGCTAAAAATGAAGGAGTAGAGGCGAAGATGCAGAATACGGAACATTTTTTGTTTTGCAAAGTCCTGAAATTTTCCTTTGTCCCAGTGACGGTAGAAATTCAGAAATGGTACCAAAACCTCGACATTGATCCGACTTAAAATGAAAATCGTCCCCCAGCAAAAATGAGTAAAATTGGCATTTGACTCAAAACATTTTTTTCCAAAGTTCTGAAATTTTTCCTTTGTCCCAGTGATGGTAGAAATTCAGAAATGGTACCAAAACCTCGACATTGATGCGATTTAAAATGAAAATTGTCCCCTAGCAAAAATGAGTAAAATTGGCATTTGACTTAAAACATATTTTTCCAGAGTCCTGAAATTTTTCCTTTGTCCCAGCGATGGTAGAAATTCAAAAATGGTACCAAAACCGCGACATTGATCCGCTTTAAAATGAAAATCGTACCCTTGCAAAAATGAGTGAAATTGGCATTTGACTCGACGGCTATTTTTTCCAAAATCCTGAATTTTTCCTTTGTCCCAGGATGACGGAAAGGGGATGACGAGTTGCAGGGCGCCTCTCGGAGGGGTCTGCGGGAGGTCTATGGGGGTGGCGGCGTCGCAACGCCGCGGGGTTTACGGCCGGCGATTAATTGTCAAAATAACCGGACACGCGGAATCGTTTACCTCGCTATGGGCGCATTGTGTCCCCGTGGATGGAGGGGTGTACAACCCCGTAGGAATGTACGTTCGTCGACGTGGACATAATATACGGGGACAGTTACCGCACCCTTGCGATATATTACCGGGACGTAAGTGGTCCTGCGGGGGGAGGGGCCCGGGCCCGTTCCAGGGGGTTCCAATGGGGTTGCGGAAATTCTATACCGTCGTCTAAGGGTACAAAGAAAGAGAAACGAGCCGAACAAAAGGAATCGAAAACGCCCGACCCTCGAAACAACCCGCTCAAGCTTCCCGTTTGAAAAGTACCTAACCTCAAAAACAATAGAAAATAAATACCCTGGCGATAACAGGCACCTTAGACAATAATTCCAGCGTACCCACCCCTGTACATAGATATATATGTACGTAAAAAATAGTAATTCCTTCTTAGGGGGCTGAAAATGAGGACAATAGACCGAGGAGAAATCGAGGCCGCGGAAATCGCGAGGAGGCTCCTCCGGGGCGGAATAATGGCGGCGGAAATCGATCCGCAAAGTACTTCCCGATGGCCGATTCGCCGAGTGCGAGATTGCGTTCCCGCAGCGGAATCGTCGCGGGGTTGCGGTTTATCGTCGAGGGCCCCGTAAACGGGCCGTTGTCGCCTTTAAGCGCCTCCTGGAGTATCAACCCCGAAGTGGGCACCGAAAGGGGTGGCGTCCGGGAATCGGGACGCCAATGGCGATCCTCGGAAGAGGAGAAAAAGGAAGGAAATGGAAAACGGGCCGACGAAAACCGCGGAGAAATGGGTCGCGAGGAGAGTTTAGGGGTGCCGGAGGGGGCGGCCATTCCGTCGCGGAATTCTTTACCAGCGGATATCGTAATGGAGGCGGTATCACTCCCCGAAGAAAGGAGGAGAGACCTCAAAGAGGAATTTATCTCCCGGACAATTTCCCCCGAAGGGTTGAATTCTCACCCCGAAAACATGGAAATGAAATATAAGGCGAGGGTCTTACGTCGAAACGAGTTAAGGGCTTGCAATGGGGAGTTGGGTTTTCTTTTTTTTTTTTTTCTTATGGGGAAGTTTCGGGGGGAATATGTATCGGATAGCTCGCGGAAAGGGGGTTGTTAAGTGTCGGGTTGCGGCTCGTTTAGGGCTAGTAAAGTCATAATGGCCGTGGGGGATGATGCCGACGAAATGACCCAAACTCGTGTTTTACGGGGCGAAATTATACGGGGCACGTTTCCTTTATGGGCGTCGGCGTCGCGACGCTGCCGCGGGGGTTGTTTCCGATCGCGCGACCACGGACTTCTCTATTTCAACGAAAAACCATAAACAAATACATTTCGACCCTGAATTCATGAAACGTCGGATTGATAGGGCGTACAAAATTCTGCAGAAAAAAAATTATAAATGCAGGAAAAAAAAATTATAAATGCAGGAAAAAAAATTATAAATGCAGGAAAAAAAATTATAAATGCAGAAGAGGCCGTTAAGACCCCCGCGGGGGTGAATTTCGAGGGTGGGATAGGGAGAGGACCGCCATCCGGCATTCTCGACGAGGATTCGCCCCGGAGGGTGGAGATTGGATCTCTCGCTCCAGGAGAGGGTCCTCTCTTGTTTGCCCTATTTTGCTTCGACGCGCGCGAGTTTTCCCGGCGGTCGAGCTCGTTCGAGATTTCCCGGGTGCTTTCCGCGGGAAAGCCCGAGCTTTAATCTACAGGATGCTACGTGAGGTGTTTGCGGTCGAACCGCCCTTATGCAGACGAGACCCCCCTCGAATCTCCGATGCATCTTCTGCGTCTTCCTCCTCCTTCGTCCTTCGTCCTTCGACCCTTCGACCCGCTGCAGCCATTTCTCTTCCGGCCGGGAAAATTTCCCCTTGCCCGGAAAACCTGAATTTTCAAGAAGGCCCAAATCCATCGAATCCTTCCGCGAGTTCGCCGAAAGAAATTCTCAGCCATTTGGAAATTTGATTTTCCGCAAACCGGGGCGGGAGGAAAATCTGAGGATGTCTTTTTCGTATTCATTTTCCTTGTGCGAAGTTTTCATTTCGTCTCCCGGTCTCCCTTGGATCTTCTTCCCTTCGGTCGTTCCGCTTTCGGCCGGGAATATTCAGACCTTGGAAGGACTTTCCTCGGGTTCTTCTTCATCTTTCCGCGTCCCCCTCCATCCATTTCCGCTTCCTTCGGGACGCCGCGGTCCCCGGAGTTGGCGGGAATCGTAAATTTGCAAAGCCACATCGGGCGAAAAGGACGACTCGCTTATGAAACTTCTCAGGGAGCCCGTAAATGAAATCGGTCCCATGAATCACGGGGAAAGTGTTTCCGAATACACTTTCCACCCCCGCACCCTTGCGATTCACCTCACGATTCGTTTATTAAAGTTAAAGGAAATTCGGTAGGGAATAGAAATCCGCGAGTGGATTTCTCGCTCCTTAACTTACGAATTCTTTCGCAAAATTCCGTACAAAGAATTCCAATCGGTACATTTCATTCCATTATTATTATTATTATATTATTCGCAATATTATTCCGTAAAAAGTTCATTTTGAATATACGCATTTCAACAAGCTGGAATAAAACGATCCGTCGTTTCATTTTATTAGTATTTCATTCCATTTTTCGCAATATTATTCGATAAAAAGTTTATTAAGAATTGAAGCATTTTAACAAGCTGGAATAAAATGATCCGTCGTTTCATTTTATTAGTATTTAATTCCATTTTTCGCAACATTATTCGACAAAAAGTTTATTAAGAATTCAAGCATTTTAACAGGCGGGAATAAAACAATCGATGTAAATCGATCGTTTTAGCGCGATAAATAAGATATCATTATAAACATTAATATCTGCCGAACTTTGAAAAAATTTCCCGAGCCCGAAATTTATCCATGGGGAGGATCCCTGAAATTCCTGGGTACGAGCACCCTCTCTTCCCTCGGGTTTGAAAACTCAGAAACCACCATCCCGCGGGCGTTGGACGATTCTGGATAAGCGGGATACGTTTTCCACCCCCGAAGAATTAGGCTAACTTTCCAGGCTCGTCGGTGCTCGGACTGCCGAGGACGCGTCGCGCCGTGATCCTTCGGGATGAGGAGTAATCCCGGGATTCGCGTGTCCTGGCAGTAATAAGCCAGAGGGCATCCCTATCTGCTTGGGTCAGGACTCCCCGGGATGTCCTGCGGAATTCCCCGCAGATTCTCCGCCCTTTTAAAGCGCCACTCGAATCGGCCGAAATCGAAATGGCCCCTTCGGTGAATTAGGTCTGGGAATCCTTCGGGAAGCCAGGACGAGAACCTGGAGGAAACGTAACCTTCCGTCGTTTCTGGCCCCGGGAGGATAGGCTTCCGCGTAAAGTCAGAGAAATTCCCGTCGACGGATCCGCGAAGAAGAGCCGGCATAAATTATCCCGAGGGAAGTCGGTAAATCCCGTATCGAGTGGGAGACTCGAGGGGGTCCCATGAATCAGGAGCGGGGCTCCTCTTCCCGAGGTCCCTTCGCCTCCTGGACCCCGGAGTCGACCTCGTAGGTGTTAAAGATGGCGGCGAGGCTCGTAAAACCACTCGGAGATCTCCTGTTCTCGCCTCTAAGTGGTCCATTCGTTTCAACCCTCGCCCTCCTGGCCCCCAGCAGTCATATTTCTCCGAGCGAGTTCGAGATCTCGAGGTCCCGCAATTCCCGCAATTCCCGCACGGAGACGTCCGGGGGTGCGTCTATCTCCGAGAGATACCGAGGGATGGACGAGCCACTCG